CAATCCAGTAGAACTCTCCTTGTATCTTAAACTCTAAGAATGAGATTTTATTTCCATTCCCAGTTCAAAATCAGTAATATCATGTATTAGCTTCAATTTTAACCTCCATGTAAGAAAAATTGTTATGATCCATTAATAACAAAAATTATTGATAATTATTAGAATTTAGATCTGATTAAAAAATACATTAGGGAAAGCATAGCAACATCTGACTCAGGGGAAAGAAATCTGCACAGTGGACATTTTGGTAAGCAGCTACTAGCTCAAAAAAAATAATGATGAGAACAGACAAATGTAAAATGAGTAAATGTAAAGAAGTACTCCTGTCAAAGAAGTGTTCTGGATAGTTAGACCAGACTCACCTATAGTTTCTGGCAATCATTGCTTATCTTTGATCTGGTGACAGGTGGTTACATAGCATAATGCAACCTTCACAAATTCCTTTCTGTTTAAAGATTCTGTTCAGGGGTTGCCTTCTCTTGTTGCTTTATTGCTTAAACATGCCTCTCACAGCAGAACTAACTCTTGCTTAATCTAGTCCCATGCTAATGAACTTATCTACCACTGACATGATACATTTCCCTGCAGAGGCAATTTGTACTCATATTTCTCCCTAATTTTCTCCCTATACACACCAACAGAAGAAAGCTATTAAGTTCCTAAAAATGTCTGTGAAGTTTCTCCGTCATTCAGGTGTGGTTATCTGGAAGCTGTCATGGCAACTCGACTTCTTTAATGTTAAATTTCCAGGTGTGGTTATCTGGAAGCTGAATCAACTTCTTTAATGTTAAATAGAAACATTTCGCTACTCATCCGAGTAGCTTCTTCAGTTTGAGGAGACTTGGTAGGAGATCCCTGGTATATCCGCCATGTTGGTTTCACTTCAGGCCAGGGGGAAGTGAAACGAGCATGGAGAATACCGTATATGCCGGCGTACAAGATGACTTTCTGGCCCTGAAAAACATGCCTCCAAGTGGGGGGGGGTCATCTTGTACGCCGGGTGCACTTCAACCCCAACAGCCCAGAGCGGGTATATCCGCACGCCCCTGAAAGCGTGAAGCCAAATCGTGTCTCCGAGCGCTCCTCCAGCGGCTGACTATGAAAGCCAGGGCACCACGTCCCTCTGTTCGGCAGCTCCAGTCTAGGAGGGAGCTCCCCCAAGTCAAAGCCCAGGCAGAGCTCCACCAATATTCTCAACTCCCAAAAATGCCGCTCCCGGTTCTCGGACCCGACAGTTCTCCCGCTGTTCGAGCTGCTCAAGTTGGTCTCCCTGCAGGCACAATCCATGGAGCTGGTTTTCAAAAGTATCTCTCCCCCCCCCTCGTCTCAGCTGGTCTCTCCGGTTTGTCTCACTGGTCCTCAGGAGGGAAAGAGAGTCACCCTGGCAGAAGAGTCCTCCAGGCAACAAACGGAGGCAGCACTTTAAAGTGTTTCAGACGCTTTGAAACAGACACCTCACGGCCCCAGACATTTGATGTGTGGAAGGTGTGCGGGAAAGGGAGTAGTCTTGTACGGCGAGTATATAAGGATCTCTGTATTTTAAGTGGAAATGTTGGGGGGTCGCCTTATACACCCAGTCGCCTTGTATGCCGGCAAATACTGTTTATCAGGGATCTCCTACCAGCTCTCCTCAAACTGAAGAAGCTACTTAGATGAGTAGCGAAACATTTCAACCTAACAAGAAATAAGTCCAGTTGCCATGACTCAACTTCCAGATTCCTAAAAATGTTTGGCCATTAAAAAGGAGGGGGACATGGGAAAACATTCTGTAATGAAAAATGACACAAAAAATTCACGAAGGCTTTCACGGCCGGGATCTAATGGTTGTTGTGGGTTTTTCGGGCTCTTTGGCCATGTTCTGAAGGTTGTTCTTCCTAACGTTTCGCCAGTCTCTGTGGCTGCCTCTGAAGATGCCGGCCAGAGACTGGCGAAACGTTAGGAAGAACAACCTTCAGAACACGGCCAAAGAGCCCGAAAAACCCACAACAACCAGCACAAATAATTGCTGTAAATGATGGACATTTTCTGCATCTATTTATCTTATTTACGGCATCCACTTACAAAAAGACAACACGTGCAAAATCCACTATGAACTTCTTATATTTTAAATAATGGACACCATAAGGGGTTCAGTGGGCAAAGCACAGCAAAGATCCTGGCTTGTTTTCTGCACAGATATATATTTTAGAAATGATGTTTCTGAAGGACTAGATCTTGAAAAGGTTACCTTCTAATTGAAAATCCGCATGGATACCGAGCTAATATAGGAACTGCAAATTATACGGTATGCTGCTCAGGGATCTTCTCTGACAAATCTACGTAGATTCTGACATTAATGTTCTCATCAGTGGGAAATAATTCCCAAAGCATTAACTGCTGTGTTCCAGAAATCCCTTGCAGAGAACCTACCTGCCTTTTTAAAAGATTGCCTCTTGTTGTTCCACAACATTAAAACTTTACACAGATGGAGCACAACAGGTATTCCTTATATCAAAAAACAAAGAAGCTATTTAAAAACACACACAAATAAACAAACTTCAGTATAATGTTTGCTCCCCACTGTGAAATTTCACTAGTGAGATTTCACGGGTACAGCGCCTACCCCAGGCCTGGTTTCTGAAGGTGTTAATATACTAATATACAGGTTATGCATAGGACACAGCTGAGGCTATCCAGATGTTGATTAATGGAGGTCAGTACCTTTGTATGGAACCAGAGTTAGAGAAATTTAGATGTGGCTTGAAAATCTATCTGTTCAAGTCGGACCCACGGATGTTGGGTGTAGGGAAAGGTTAGTGGCCGGTGTAATTTATTTGAATTTTTTTAGCTGGGGTTTTAACAACTCTTAAATTTTTATTGAGAGTTGTTATTCTAACGAATTAGTCTCATTACTCTGAGAAGGTTTGCACACACATACGGTTGTTAAATGTGTTGCATGTTTGTATATCATTAATTTTACTGGAATGCACTATATAAATAATAACTAACATCATCAAATTTTGCTGGGGGGAAGCACCTCTCAGAGCCTTTTCCCCACCAAGTGTGAAGGGTGGTCCCCACTCCTCTTTCATGAAGCACCTTCAGAGCTCCCCAAATTTCCAGCAACCCAAAGGCCCAGCAGGTGCTGTGCTAGTGTGTTGCATGTTCACCTTAAATTGGGGGGGGGGGTGTCGGGAAGGCTAAAGTCCCAGTTTACACATGTAAAACACCCTGCACTCCTTCCTCTCCCATGATCCCTTTTAAATCCCACTGAATCCGGCAAGACTTGCTCAGTTGCTTGACTCAGCTTTTTTCATGGTTAGGTCAACCTCACAAGACTGCACCTTAGGAAAACCGCCAATCTATTGGTGCCTTGGGAAGATGTTTTGACTAGTTGAGGGGCAAGGATTGGCTCTTGATGCTTCAGTATGGGTTTTCATGGGGCTTTGCACAGAAACAGCAACATACACTCCAACAGAGGAAAAGGGGCCTTGGGCAGTTGCTGTTCCTGTGTCCATCAAAGTGGCCCCATTAGTGGTGCTTCTAAGGAACCGTTGGCACTTAGCCCGCTCATCCCCTCTGGTTGGTTAGTGAAGTAAAACCAGCACTGAAGCAGAAATGACGTCCAGTCCCTGGCTCACCATGTTGCCTTCTGGGCTCCAGAGGAGGCGGATTGAGCCTTCTGGCATGTAATGCCCATAGGCAAGGACACAACAGATTGCTCATTCGCTCTTTCTGCGGGGTCAGCTGGGCCCAATTACTACCCCTTCAGTGGCCAAACAAGAGAGCACAGACGTGCAAGGAGAAGCCACCTAATTATTCTGCCTACTCACCTGCAAGGCGCTCCCTGTATGAGGTGCCATGAGGATTGGGCCCGGCTTTCCCTATGAAAGGGGCTTGCTCCTTCACTCCATGAGGGCCCCTCAGCATATTGCATTGCACAAACTGAGCTGCAGCTGCTCCTTGCAGCCACCACCTGCCCAGTCCTGCCATGTTTTTAGAGGGTCCCCAATTGACAACTTTCTCCTGTTCTTGAGCTCAGTCCTCACTACTGCACCGTCTCCCTTCACTTGCCCACTATCTGTCCTCGAGCCCTGGACAACCAATAGCCAAGGCTGCTTCCACCCGCTAGCCCTGCCGCTGGTCTCTCTGCCACAGGAGCTCTGGATCCTATTCCTTCTGCGCTACCACTCAAGGGAACACGAGGCAGTCGGTCCTTGCACGAGCAGCTGTTTCTGCCCACTTGCCCGTCTTTCTTGGCCGGCTGGCGAGGGCAGCTGCTCTTCTCTCGCCCGCCCGCCTGCCCGCCGTCCCTGCCTGCCTCCTTCGCGGGGCAGTGCCTATGAGCCCCGTCCAGTTGTCGCCGGGCGACTAGCCACTTTGCGCTGGCCTGGGGGCAAAAAAAGAGAGAGGGTTCATCCAAAGGTCGAGGGATCTTCATAACCAAAGCAACGTCCGTGCTCGCGCACCACATGCCGGCTCCAAAGCGCCTGCCTCTCAACACGCCCTCCTCTGCCCCCTCAGAAGAGCACCTCTGGGAGCGCTTTTTTCCCCCCCGCCAAGCGTGAAGGGCGCTCCCCTCCCTCTTTCACGAAGCCACGGGGACAGCACCGGGTTGCCTGACGTCGGGTTGCCTGCCTCTCCGTAGGGCTGGGCGACCGCCTCCTCCCTCCTCGCTTTCCTCCCAGGGCTCTCCTCGCGTGCCGGGCTCCTCGCTCTCTTTCTCTCTCCGTCAGCACCTGGCACGCCCCGGCTTTCCCGCCTCGAACACCAGCGTGCACCGCCGGCCCGGGATCCCACACCTACTCACCCACCCAGCTTGCGACTGTGGCGGCTGAGCGAGCCATAGAGGGAAAAAGATTTGCTTGGGTGTGTGTGCGTGTGTGCTCTGTCTGGCTTGCCCGGGGACGCGCTTCTCGGTGGGGTGTGCCTCTCTCTTTTTTTCCCGCGCGCGTGGGGCGAGTTTCTGGAAGCTTACGGCGACCGAGGCGCAGAAGCCGCCGCCGCCAGAGCCGCCGCGCCGTGGGATGTCCCTCTACTCCGTCCTTCCCCCAGACGTGGAGATGAACAAGATCCAAGGAAGGGAGACCATCTCTTAAGACGCCCCGAGCCAGGATGGTGCACCTGCAGCAGCCCCTGCCTCTAATGGTGGTGGTGCAGAGCTTCCTCCCGCTCGTAAGTCCCTTTTGCTTGCCGTGACCCCCCTCCCCCCCCTTTTTTAAACCCCCTTTCCTTCGACAGGTTTTCTCAGGATCCCTCTCCAGCCTCGTTTTACCTCAGGAGACATTTCCCCCCTTCCTCCTGTGAGGGGTTTTGTTTTACAGCGGCATAGAAAGACCTTGCAAGTTTGCAATGATCCCGGCCGAGTTTAGTCTGACTTGTGCATGTATGGCTGCTTCTGTGGGTGGGGGGATTTTTTTCCTCTCCCCCCGCCACCCTAGTTTTCCCGCCCTCCCTTTGCCGTGTGGCTCTTCAGCCTCCCCCTTCGTGGCGCGGTGGTGTGGCGTTAGGCACCCCCCCCCGGCTTGCAGAAGAGGCAGGCGCCTGTAAGTCGGGGGGAACTGGCGCGGGAAACCATTTGGTTCGGGGGCGCCTGTCGGCGGAAAACTTTTTTAAAAGCAAGCCGGAGGAAGTCGCGATCTCCTGGCCTTTTCTCTCCCGTCTCTTAAACGCTAACGTGGTTTCCATTAGGAAACGCCAGGGTTGGCTTTCTGGCTCTCCGGCGAGGGAAAGATAAACGGGGAGGGCACACGAGCCGCTTTTAGAACAGCCCCTTGTCTTAAAACAGCCAAGTCAGCCGAAGAAGCGGTGGTGGGTTTAGCTAAGGCCTGCGATCTTCCACATGCAGCGATTTGGACGCAGTTCCTCATTCTGAGGGATGTCTGATCCGTGTAACTCTTAAGCTCTTTGGGAAACTTGGACAGCGCAGGATGGATGCCTGTAGTAGCCTTTTATAATTATCCCTGGTTTATCTCAAAATACGGCCTGCCTACAAGTTAGGTCCACAGTTGATAACTAAAATTACCAGAATCTTCATATTTAGAAAGAACGGTGTAGCTCTTCAGCACACCAGTTTATTTCTAAAGGGATGGACTGTGTTGGTATGTGACACTGTAAGACAAATTCACTCTAGTGTAAGCTTTCCTGGGCACTGTCCCTTTTGCCACTTGCCATTTATTTGTGAGTTAGAGAGTTGAATCCTCCGTATCTTCAGCAGAAAAGTGACCTGGCTTGATTTAATTGCCAAAAATGGTATGTAGTGTGAATATGAGGAAGCCTGTTAAATAGCCTAATCTGTGTATTTTAATTTCTTTAACATATTGTCATTCAACTTTTCCTCTGTAGTATAAATTCTTATGGTTAAGGACTGCACATTTGTTAAAATGTACACTTTAATGGAACAGTTGACTTTTGGCCTAGAATTAAGCAATTTCAAAAAAGTGATTTTTTTTGGTTTGAGATTTACCTGTGCCTGTTACAGCCTTTCACTCAAACAGTAACCTTACTTGTACAATCATATGTCAAGCACATAACCAAATCTGGAACATATTTACTTGGATTTATATCAGACTCTGAATAATGGAACATATTACTATGTAGATGTATAGCATTGGCGCCTTAATTTGTTTTGCGTTTTGCAAATTGATAACTCATGTGTACCTCTTAACAGATGATGTAAAAGTAGAATTATATATGGTTGCGTTATCAACTACAAGCAAGTTTTAGGTGGTTTATGTAGCATTTTTAAAGTCCCATTCTAAATATGTTTACTGAGCAGTAAGTCCTGGAGAGTTTGATGGAACTAAGCTGGGGATTGCTGTCTATAGGAAATGAAAAAAGCTACACTGTTGATGATAACATTGTATGTCAAGTGAGAAAATACTACTAACTGACATAATAAGCAGGATGTAGTTATAATACCTGTCTTCTTAAGTCGTTAAATATGGGGAAACAGTATAAGGAAGGGAGTAAAATCTGTGAAGGATCAAATTTTGCCAAGTAAAGCAATACAAATAAGATTGTAATTATACTTAATTCTTCTTGGGAAAATAGTCACCGCTCACTAACAACTGGATGCAAAGTTTTGTTTTCTTCCCTTGCCTGCAGTCCCATTGGGGGAAAAATCTGTGTTCCTGTGTGTGTGTCACTACAGTCAGTAAGGGAATGTGTAATAAACCTTGAAGGGATTAGACAGCCTCCTTAAGAGCTGGATTCTAATATTACAGCATGAGTTGATTGATTAGTTTCTGAGGAAGCTTATGTCAAATTCTAATCCGTTTTTGGATTGTGCTTGTCTTGTAATGTTGTGGGCTTTTTTCCCCTTTTTCTCCCCCCCCCTTTTGGTTGCTCCAGCACTTTATCATAGCAATGATGTGCGGGGCTGCAGCCTGCGATAAGGCACACACATTTTCTTTCACACTGCTTTCCTTTTTTCGAACAATAAAAGCCTGTTTACATTCTTAGAGTAGAGTTTCCAGCTAAACACCACACAGGGGCTAAGGATATGAATAGAAAGCAGTAAAAGGATTACAGAGTTGCTGAGCAGGAAAGATCTAAATTGAAATACCCCTCCCACCTTAAAATAAAATCAACTAGATATCAAAGGGACTGATTAAAACTTCTGGCAGATGTTGGTTTTGTTCCACATTTTATTGAACAATTTAAATCTCTTTACAGTGGCTTTATGGGAGTGCTGATCACTTTGAATGGTCAAAAGGTGTTTTCCTTGAAAAGAAAGAAGGAACACACTGAGAAGGCAGTACCTGTTCTTAGCTGATACAGGAGAGAACAATTAAAAGAGGAGTAGTTCATCTTCTGCATGATTAGATGTTTACATTTCAAAACAGTAGCAGCCTGAAAGACTTTTATTTTACATTCTTATCATGGAAGTAATCCTGAAGTGACAAAATAAAAATAAATTATGGTGCAATCTTGTATGTGGCTACTCAGAAGTATGTTCCATTTAGTTCAGTAGGGGATTCTTGCAGGTTATGGGGATAGAAGGTTGCAGCCTTCAGTTCTATATTTTGTAATAGTACCTTTTAAGTGCCTTAAGTGAATGTACATTAATACAGTTTGGTAAAGCTGTGCTTAACATTTTGTGGCTGTTTTGTGACTTTTAGAACTGCGCCCTTGGTTATAGTAACTTATGTTGGATTATTTTCATATGGTTAGTATAAAAATAATCAAATACAATAAGTGACTAGGTACCCATAAAATAGACACTGTGGCCATGGTTTCTACTGTTTACTTGTGTGCTTAGACTTTTCAGTGACTAATAACTTCCAGATGTGTAAATAGTAGATAGTGGCTATTACTTATACTGTATATGCCATTAAATTGAAAAGTCCTATACATTTTTTGGTATTTTATGCTTGTGTCTTTGCTATGCCTGTTGTACTCCTCGCACAGATGCTTTTGCAAATTTGCCCTCCCAGTACTAATTTACTGAGATTTGCTTCATTGTAAATGATCTCCTAGTTTCTATTGTTGAGAGTTATTCAATATGGCAATACATTACATCGCTTGTGTGCCATATTGCATTGAAGATTGTGCACTATCCTTTTTTATTATTATTTTGTCCAAATAAAGGCTCCAATTCTAAGCATATTTAATTGATAGTAAGTCAGGTTGTGGGCATACAAGTAGACGGATAGGTATATGCACTGCTTCTTTGATAAAAGTAAAATTGCACACATGCCACCTTTCTAGAAACCAGATAGAGGTTAGTCCCAAAGAAAGTGACTGTTTTGATAGTTAATATGTGTGAAAACAGTAATGTTGGGCTGGTCAGTAATCCTCTATTGAGCGGAGAGTAAACTGGACATATTATTAAGGTCTGTGACTAATACTGCTCAAAAGTTTAAACCTAATGTTAATGGTTGTTCAGCAAATTTATTTATTTATTCAACTAATGTTAATGGTTGTTCAGCAAATTTATTCAATATCACATTAATAATTACAGTAGAGGAACAATAGATTTATGGATACTGTGAATAGGAAAGTATCATGTAAATGATTTTATGAGTCATTCAAAAGGGCACCGTTGTTAACATTGTATCAAGCATATGTTATATACCTTTGCAGACAGATCCTATTTTTGTTACGTGTTTTGATTTCCCTTATTTTAGCCAAAATGCATGTTTTACAACATGTTAAAATAATGAATTACAAAATAAGAATAATTTTAAATAAAGATGCATGCTGTTGCAGCTGCTGTGACTTTGTTTTTTATATTATTTTACATTCGAATTAGAATCTACTGGCAAGCATGAAACACAAAAATATGAACTGCAATTCAGATAATTGATTGGTACTGTCTGTGTGTCCAAAGGGGTTTCAGATTGGTGGGTCTGCATGGTACACAGTAAGCCACCTTTGAAATGATGAAGTCCTTCCGTTTCTAATACAAAGAAAGGCCTACTGAGCGAGCCTAAGTCCTTGTATGCACCTGGAGTAATTCTTTGGGCACCATTCAGAAATGTCAATGGATATATGACTAGTATTCTATCACTTTCATAAGCATAATTGAAACAGTTATCTATTTGGTTTGTCTTTAATACCCAGTTATTTTAAAATTTACTGCTTTTGACAGTAGAATCACCGGCTTCATCAAGTAGTCTAACTCCTTTTTTAAAAGCAGTATATTTACCATAGATTTTGGAACAAAGAACTTCAGGCAATGCTGTGCCTGAAGATATACTTTTTGTTTGTTTGTCATGAATTGGCTGAAATAATTTTATAGGATAACCAGGTGTGGGCAAATTGTAGTCCTTCAGGTACTGTTGAACTGCAGCTTCCATTGGCGCAACATAGGCAATACAAAGGAATTCTGGGAGTTGTAGTTCAGCAACATGTGGGGGGCTACGTTTTGTCTATATTCAGTTCTATCAGCCCTTGAAAGTAAGATAATACCATTTTTGGCCTACCTTTCTCCTAATTACACTCCTAATTTCCAATATTATTTGTTTGCGTCAATGCTTTTTTAAAACCTGCTCTTCAGTTGAAAAGAGTCTGTCTGTGTACAGAAGAAAAGAATCATATAAAACAGCTGTTAGATTTTTCTTTGAGGGATGTATTGCCACAGGAGCATACGTTATAGGTGCTCATTTGCGTCATTTATTCATCAGTTGGGAGAAAGAAGAAGACAACCCTATGAATCTACGTTGCTCTTA